AGGTGCTTTTGACATTGACGTCTTTTTTTTCCTTAGTAAGAAAGCATGTATACAATATTTTGCTTGAATGATTTACTTTTTTTTGTTTTACTTCAATTTTTTAAATTGAATGTAGAACTGCATATATGTGAGGCAGCGTGGTGGAATCAGGCTCTCGTGAAAATAATCACAGGTTTGTGAATTTTCATCAATATTTTTTTTGACACAGCACCTTTCATGCCCATTAAAGAACTCATATCTGTGTGGATTTTTCTGAAAAACGATTAAAGGCATAGAAAATGAAAATTTCCAGTTACCACGGACTCTAAAGCTAAGAAAATAAGTAGTCTTTGGCAGCCATTTTCTCACTAACTTTACCTCTGAAAACAGGTGACCCCCACATCCTTCATTCGCAAATATCTCGACTTGTATTCCAGATAAATGGATATTTTTTTCATCCAAATAAAGACAATTGAACAAGCTTTAAGATGATACCAATAACTCTACTTGCCCAAAAATTGACGAGAGTCTGATTCCACCACGCTGCCTCACATATATTATTAAGTGCAATACATGGGTGTATGCATGTTTTTCATAAATATTAAGTAAAGTACATAGAACAATGATTGTAACACGGATTTGCACGATATAAATCATATGACATGTATTATTATAAGCAAACAATGTAATATTGTGGGATGGGGATTGCGGGGGGGGGGGGGGGGGGGCGGGGAAGTGTTGAGAGGCAAATGTAAGAACATTGTGAAAAAAATGGGGAGGGGTGAGGGGGCAAAAATTCCCCCCCAAAAAGGTGTAAGATTATATTATTTGAACAACCCCAAAGACTGTGGGCAGGAAAAAGTGGAAGATTAGGGGGGGGGGGGCTCAGTGAAAAGGAAATGCTTGGCTCTAAATATTCTCGCTTTCTTTAGAATTTCGAATGGAACTGAGTACAATTTAAAGTCAGTGATTATAAAACATACCAAAATGTATTGACCTTTCAAACTGAAGTTCCAAAATCTCCGAGTGATGTACAATGTATTTCCCTGTCTTGTACATTTCCAACAATGAACAGAGCGAGCCAGAAGCTCTAGGCGAAAAATGTGTGACGTCACGGCTCGGCGCGATGTCACGGTGGAAGGATTCAGCGAGGTCTTCGCGGATTTGGTTGGTAAAAGGGAAAGACTTGCCTTGTCAAGGTATCACTTCTAAGATAACCATTGGAATGTTTTGTGGTAGAACAAAGAATGGTTTATCAACAAGGGTAGTTAAAAAAATATGGCAAGTACATTCCAAATAATCAATGGTCATAAATTGTGTAAGATTATGTTTGAGCAGCCCCTTTTTATTTTGGATCATACCCATCAGGCTCCCTACGTCACGCTTATGGTGTAATTAAACGCTAATTAGAATTTTACTCTGAATGTTTGTTGCTTATTTATTGATTCTACATAAACTTTAAAAAAAAATTATACCTCAGTAGTTACGATACAACTATTATTAACCTTATCCGTACGTCGTGTTTAGTATCGCATTCATACGACGTGGGGAACTCTGTGCCACCACTTTCCAAAGAGGAAATTTACTCGTTAATCCGATCCGTTCGCTTCGCATAGCAGTCTGTCAAAACGATTTTTTGAGAAATACTAAACGTTTCAAAGAAATCTTCGTTCTAGAAGTATTGCAAAATGTGAAGAATACAACCCCAGGGCTACAAAATGACCCCCAGGGCGTACGGATAGGGTTAAGGATTTTATGACGCTTTGAAACAAGATTTGGAAATTTGGTGGCACAAAATGAAGTACAAAAATTTGGCAGAATCAGGGCGAAAACTGATTCACAAAAATGGCCGCTGATTCTGGACTAACAAAGATAGCACAAACATTTTAAAAAGTCTCTGAAACAGAAAGCCACGCTCTATCCTATACTCCTAATTTCAGTGCCCTTGGAGAAGTTTGAAAACTTCACTGAAGTGCCTAGTTAACCTATGTTTGAAAACTCTTGCTTGTCTTCTTTTCCACCCACCCACCCATTTTGCATCTTTCTCCCCTTGGAGCTTTATTTTGAGCATCTTTAGCTGAGTTGGTATCATGCCAGAATATGGTAGGGATCATAACGGTGTGTTCCTGAACGTCAGTTCTTTGAGGTGCTTGTGGAGTGAGTGATGAAGGAAGACAGAGTAGGAGAAGCTGAGGGGGGGGGGGTTGGTAAGTTTTACGGCGCTCGCAACTGCATAAGGTCAGATGAACGCGCGGGGCATATTAAAAATATTCAGTTGGTAGGACATTTTGAATTTTGCACGGGTGACGGCCGAAGCCTACTCTTATCAATTTTAGACCACCAAGGGATCTTTAACGTGCAACTTGCACACGGGCCCTCCGAGATTTTTTGCCCTTGTCCGAGAAGGCTAGGTGTACATATTTTTCTACCATCAGATCAGGGGTGTGACTGAAAGACAGCAGTAAGAAGAAGCCAAGGAGTAGCAGTAGAAAGGCTGCAGAAAGAGTCAGGAGCCCAGAGGAGGGGGCAAAGGAGATGAGGGAGTTGAGGCAGAAAGAAGAGACGAAAGCAGATGACAGAACATTGCTAGAAAGCAGGAAAGGAAGTGAAAGGAGACAATTTTAGAGAAGAAAAGTTTTCTGTCGCTACCCAGATTCGAACCCGGGACCTTTGAATGGGAGGCAAACACCCTAACTTCTAGGCCCCGAGAGCCCCCTAGAAAGAGTTAATTTTTAAAAGTTTTTTTTAGTTTAGTATGGGGTTTTACGGCGCTCGCAACTGCATAAGGTCAAATGAGCGCCGAAACACAAGTTAGTTTTTTTTTATACGTAGTTCACTGCACGGCTGTGTACGGTTATTTGATCTTAAACGTTAAAATAGAAAATTTTGGTGTAGATATATAATATTTTCTCCCACACGTCTTCAGCTACTTTGTCATCCACGTCACAGACAGAGATGTCCGCAGACAGAGATGTCCGCAGACAGAGATGTCCGCAGACAGAGATGTCCACAGACAGAGATGTCCACAGACAGAGATGTCCACAGACAGAGATGTCCACAGACTCCAGCACAGAGAGATGTTGAATTTCCTGGGAGGGGCGGGGAGACTTTGAGGCAGTAGAGCGGAATAAGAGTTATGGCACTTGCAATACAATAAGGTCATATAAGTGCCGAAGATTAGATTCTGTTTGTTTTTGTAAGTGTTTTACGGCGCTCGCAGCTGCATAAGGTCATATGAGCGCACGGGACACATTAAACTTTTTCAGTTGGTAGGAAATTTTGAATTTTGACCGGGTGGCGGCCGAAGCCTACTCTTATCGATGTTAGACCACCAAGGGATCTTTAACGTGCGCAACTTGTACACGGGCCCTCCGAGATTTTTTGCCCTTGTCCGAGAAAGCTACGTGTAGATCTTTCCTACAAGAAGATCAGGGGTATTGCTGAAAGACAGCAGTAAGAAGAAGCCAAGGAGTAGCAGTAGAAAGGCTGTAGAAAGAATCAGGAGCCCAGAGGAGAGGGGGGGGGGACAAAGGAGATGAGGGAGTGGGGACAGAAAGAGGAGACGAAAGCAGACGACAGAACATTGCTAGAAAGCTGGAAAGGAAGTGAAAGGAGACAATTCAGAGAAGAACAGTTTTTCGGTCGCTACCCGGATTCGAATCCGGGACCTTTGAATGAGAGGTCAACACCTTAACCTCTAGGCCAATAGCAACTTCGCAGCCCATTTCAAAGCGTTATACAGAAATCAGAAACAGCTGGATATATCACCATCCTCCCACGGTATTGGAGCAGAAGAGTCATAGCTTTGTTTTAAAAAACCATAGCCTTCCGTTAAATAATCTCTACCAGTGGAAATTAACGAATTCTCCCTTATGTGAGAGGTGTAACTCTCATGAAACTGAAGATGCATTTCACTTTATTTTCTATTGTTCACACTTTGTCCTTCAAAGGAAATTGTTAATCCCTCCCAGCCTGACTCGGCCTAGTGACAGAAATAAGCAATGTTTGACCCATGATAAGAGATATGTGCACAACCTGTACTTATTCATTATGGAAACTTTTATCAAATGAGTGTTTTATGTGATGTGATGAGGGCCCATGGCCTTAAACACTGAATAAACTTACAGAAATCAGAAAGGCGAATTCCCACACTTCATAGCGTGCATGTTGCTACACAAAAGTAGTTGCAGGTGAAGAAATCAGAATTTACAAAGAAAAGCAGTAAAGAAGACCAGGCGAGACAAAATTAGAAAAACAGTCATCAGAGAAATGGTGGGCGCAAATGATGTCATGCATCACATACAACACCAAAGAATCAAATGGTTCGGACATCTCATGAGATTACCAACACACCACCCAGCACAACGTGCCTACATAAAAGAAATCGATGACAACGTCTTGTTTGTTTTAGTAGAGGTTTTACGGCGCTCGCAACTGCATAAGGCCAAATGAGCGTCAGAAGAATCGAGGTGTTACAAGAGAGTAACAAACAAACAAAACAAAAAAAAAGGGGGCGAAAAGGACGATATATGTTTGATAGAAAAGCAATCCACACCAGAGCACCCGCCAACCACCCACAACCAACATCTCATCCGAAAGACGACGTGGAGTTCCCCCACAAGACCTCTCCTTGCACTACTACAGATTATAACTCACATCTCTCGCGTGTCTGACTGCGACACCGCACAAGTTTCTCTGCAGCTGCGATCTATGGGCCGACAAATGAAGAGAGCCAAGAGTTCATAGAGTCCCATACATAGAACCTCTACACCCTTGCTCTAAACCTTGCTAGCTACGGCATTTCATATAACTCCAGTAACAGTCATTCTAGTAACAGTTACTGTAGTAACAGCCACGGCGTTTCATGCAACTCTAGTAATAGTAATTCTAGTAACAACTACGGCGTTTCATGTAACTGTAGTAACAGTAAGTCTAGGAACAACTACGGCGTTTCATTTAACCAGTAACAATAACTGTAGTTAGTAACAGTAACTGTAGTAACCGCTTCACCGTTTCATGTAACAAGTGACAACTACATCGTTTCACGTAACTCTAGTAACACACACCAAATAAATCGTTTCATGTAACTAGTAACACACACCAAATACATACACAACAACACACACACACACACACACACACACACACACACACACACACACACACACACCATCATAATTACCTAAAAAAATTTAAGACTGAACGAACAAACGAAGATACACACACCCACATACGCTTGAACACTGACTGAGCAGCAGCAGCAGGGGGAGGAGGGAGAGGGAGAGGAGGGACAGGAGGGAGATGCAGTCTCCTGTCTGCTTCAGCAAAGTTCCTCCTTTGTGCTGGCACAAACGCTCCCCGTCCCTGCTGCTGCCCGAGGAAGTCCATCATGTCCCTGGCTGTCAGGTTGATGACAAAGAAGTTGAAGGGCTGTGGGAGAAGAAAAAGAAAAATTGTTATTATTATTATTATTATTATTATTATTATTATTATTATTATTATTATTATTATTATTATTATAATTATTATTATTATTATTATTATTATTATTATTATCATTATTATTATTATTATGATTATAATTATATTAATAATATTATTATTATCATTATTATTATTATTATTATTATAATTATATTAATAATAATATTATTATTATTATTATTATTATTATTATTATTATTATTATTGTTATTATTATCATCATTATCATTATCATTATCATTATCATTATCATTATCATTATCATTATCATTATCATTATGGCTATGACTATGACCCTGAATACTATTATGATTATGATTATGATTATGATTATGATTATGATGATTATTATTATTATTATTATTACTATTATTATTATATTATTACTATTATTATTATTATTATCATTATCGTTATCATTATCATTATCGTTATTATTTAAATTATGTGTTTTTACATCCCCACCTAAATAATGTATAAAATCATTTAGAAGCGGATTTCCTATCTGAATAAAAACGGGAAACAATAGGTTGCCAAGAGCCTTGGGGAAGATTGGAACATTAATCTTGTGTCAGATGCGCTGCCGATCTGACGACCTGGAATTTACCAGACTTTGGACAGACCTGAAGGAACTAGTTTAAAAGCACTGATTCGAAGAAATTGTTCTCCGTCGTTGGTCCAAACAGAATTCTCCATTTTTTTACCTTTAATGTAAAAATACGGATAATACTGTTATACAAAACGATAAAAATGTCTGTTGTTACTATTGGATTTTTACCACGAATTCTCAACTTCAACCATACAGTAAAATACGTTGGAGTCCCTTACGTTCCTGTGACCTTAATGCAGTTGCAGTAGCAGTAAATCTCTTACCTCTAAAAGAAACAAGAAAACCCAAAAAAACCCATCAAAACAAAAAAACGTACCCCATTAGGTGGTGGAGCGTGTGGATGCCAGGCAGCTGGTGCAGCAACGAGCACGGGAAACATCCTTGGCAGTTGATCTCGTCCTGGCCAGACAGGGGGAGCGTAGACGACACCTGGAGGTGCGTAGTCTACTGCAAGAGGAAGATGACGGACAGGCAGAGGAAAGGGAAGAAGAGGCAGATGACCTGCAGCAGGTGCAGGATTGACAGGAAGAGGAAAGGGAAGAAGAGGCAGATGACCTGCAACAGGTGCAGGATTGACAGGCAGAGGAAAGGGAAGAAGAGGCAGATGACCTGCAACAGGTGCAGGATTGACAGGAAGAGGAAAGGGAAGAAGAGGCAGATGACCTGCAGCAGGTGCAGGATTGACAGGAAGAGGAAAGGGAAGAAGAGGCAGATGACCTGCAACAGGTGCAGGATTGACAGGCAGAGGAAAGGGAAGAAGAGGCAGATGACCTGCAACAGGTGCAGGATTGACAGGAAGAGGAAAGGGAAGAAGAGGCAGATGACCTGCAGCAGGTGCAGGATTGACAGGAAGAGGAAAGGGAAGAAGAGGCAGATGACCTGCAACAGGTGCAGGATTGACAGGCAGAGGAAAGGGAAGAAGAGGCAGATCACCTGCACCAGGTGCAGGATCAACAGGAAGGTCACCTGCACCAGGTGCAGGATCGACAGGAAGGTCACCTGCACCAGGTACAGGATCGACAGGCAAAGGTAAGGCAGCAGGTACAGGATTGACAGGCAAAGGTAAGGCAGCAGGTACAGGATTGACAGGCAAAGGTAAGGCAGCAGGTACAGGATTGACAGGCAAAGGTAAGGCAGCAGGTACAGGATGGACAGGCAAAGGTAAGGCAGCAGGTACAGGAAGAGGTGCAGGATCGACCACGACCTCCAGGGCCGCTACTTCCTGTGCTGGAGCACGGAGCTCATCTTGTCGCCCTGAAAAAGAAAAACACACGGTGCGTGAGTGAAACTCTCTTCGCAACCCTGCATCTTCTGGTGGCTTTTTGCTTCACGACGTTTTGCTGTAACTATTTTACGAGGTATTTTTTTTCGTAAGAGCTTTTAGTTGTAGTTTTAGTAAGTTTTACGGCACTTGCAACACAATAAGGTCATATAAGTGCCGAAGATTAGATGTTGCAGGAGAGAAAAAAACATAAAAAGGAGGAGATCAGGACGATAGATGTTTAATAGGAAAGAAGAAGCAAACCACACCTACCAAAGTACCCGCCAACCACCCACTTCATAAGCGTTTTACGGCACTTGCTTTACAATAAAGTCATAAAAGTTCCGACGATTAGAGGTTTTGATTGATTGAGTAGGTGTTTTACGGCACTCTCGACCCAATGAAGATTTTTTTTTTTTTAAATAGTAGAGGGATTTACGGCGCTCGCAACTGCATTAGGTCATATGAGCGCCAAGGGTTCAGTGTCAACAGAGAAGTCTTTACATGGAATCAGACTTACTCTGCTCACCTCTCTAGCTTCAACAGCACAAGGTCTGCCTCAACTGTCAAGGCACCCCGGAAGTAGCAGGTCTCAAAAGAGTGACAAACATACAAAAGAAGTAGAGGAAAATAACAATAGCAAGGATTAGGAAAGAAAAAGCAGCAGTTCACTGTTGTAGATCAGCCACAGTTATGAGCGTGACAATTCTACTGTGCTTGAACTAGAAATATCCCCCGTTTGGGAATGGCCTAAAGACACTACAGTCAGTGGCACTGACATTCTCATTCTCACTCTCATTCTCACTCTCATTCTCACTCTCATTCTCACTCTCATTCTCACTCTCATCCTCACTCTCATCCTCACTCTCATCCTCACTCTCATCCTCACTCTCATTCTCACTCTCATCCTCACTCTCACTCTCACTCTCACTCTCACTCTCACTCTCACTCTCCCTCTCCCTCTCACTCTCTCACTCTCTCACTCTCTCACTCTCACGCTTCGCTCTCTCTTTCTCTCACTTATGCGTGCGAGTGCGTGCATACACACACACACACACACACACACACACACACACACACACACACACACAAGCATATACACACACAAGCATATACACACACAAGCACATACACACACGATGCTAATTAATCAGAAATGTAGCAAACAATTTAAAATTTATATTTCGCTGATAAAGCCAAATGAGAATATGAAAGTCTTACTGTGCTGCCTGCAATAGGGCTGCGATAGACGCCGCCTCCGTTTGCACAGTCGACGGCGTCCGCTAACTAAGGTAAGTTCCTGGCATTGTCCAAGCTGAAAACAGATTTAAAGAACATTTTAGTTAGTTATAGTAGAGGTTTTACGGCGCTCGCAACTGCATAAGGTCATATGAGCGCCAGAAGATTAGGGGTGTTACAAGAGAGTAACAAACATAAAAGAAGGGGAGACAAGGACGATAGATGTTTGATTGGAAAGAAGCAAACTACACCGGAGCACCCGCCAACCACCCACTAATAATATTTAAGAACAGATCCTAACTAATCAGCTTCTATTACAAAAAAGGCGAAATGAGAATGACAGTATTATGTTGGGAAATGGAAGGCTCGAACCTGCCTAAGGTCATATGAGCGCGCGAAACAAGGTTTTTTCTCAACGGTTCATTTCTCGGCTTGATACTGGTCAATATTTCTATTTAAAAATTTTTAAACGCTAAAAATCGAGTGTAAATAGGCTTTAGATTTAAATTTAAATTTAAAACAACTTTCTAAATAACACTTAATTTCGAACAACCTATTTCAAAACTTTTATAAAACCTAAATTAAATCCCATTAAATTCGGAATATCAGGTATACAATGTTGGAAGTAAAAAGTGGAAATTATATATACATGTAGATATCTGAATAAAAATGGGAAACAACAGGTTGCCAAGAGCCATGGGGAAGATTGGAACATTAACTTTGTGTCAGATGCGATGCCCATCTGGTGACCTGGAATTTGCCAGACTTTGGGGAGACCAGAAGGAATTACTTTTTTACGCACCTATTTGAAGAATTTGTTCTCCTTCATTGATCCTAACAGAGGTCTCAATGTTTGGTCTTTACTCTAAAAATACGACCTTAACGTAGTTGTAGGTGCTGTTTACCTCTAAAACAAAAGAAAACCAAGAAAGAGGGGGAAACATTTTAAAAAGAACAACAACAAAAAGAATAAATGCAGAAACAAAAAAACTTTTAAAATCCCACAACAACAACAAAAACTTACGTCGTTTGCTGCCAGTGGTTGTTGAGCCTGCAACGCCGGCATTGCAAGCTCAGGACGGGCAGGGCGTGGGTCCACTTCCATTGGTTGCGCTTGCAACACCGGCATTGCAGGACCTGCCTGTCCTACAGGCATTGCTGGACCGGCCTGTCCCACAGGCATTGACGGACCCGCCTGTCCCACAGGCATTGCCGGACCGGCCTGTCCCACAGGCATTGCCTGACCGGCCTGTCCTACAGGCATTGCAGGACCCGCCTGTCCTACAGGCATTGCCTGACCGGCCTGTCCCACAGGAATTGCAGGTACCACAGGGGGCTGGTCTCGGCCAGCTTCAGGCCGACCTGCAAAAGAAAAACATACGGTGCGTGAGTGAAACTCTCTTTACAACCCTGCATCTTCTGGTGGCTTTTTGTTTCACGACGTTTTGCTGTAGCTATTTTACGCGGTACTTTGGTCACTTAACCCTACCCGTACGCCCTGGGGTCATTTTATACCCCCGAGGTTGTTTTCTTCACATTTTAGAATACTTTTAGTATGAAGATCTCTTTGAAACTTTCAGTTAGTTCAGTATGGGGTTTTACGACGCTCGTAACTGCATAAGGTCATATGAGCGCGCGAAACACAAGTTAGTTTTATTCGCAGTTCACTGTACGGCTGTAATTCGGTTTAGATATATTATTTTCAATTTAAAACAACTTTCCTAAATAACATAAAAATTTAAATAATTCAATTTGCTCAACAGTTTCCCATAAAGGCCAATGGCCTTCATAAAATTAAAAATTTTGATGGGATCAACGACGGAAAAAATGTCTTGCAATTTTTTACATTTAAATTATTTCCTTCGGATCTCTCCGAAGTCTAGACATTAGGTTAAAATGTGTCTAATGCTTCTCATCTCCCTGAAGGAGGTATTCGTGAGTTAGGGGCGTGTGTCCGATTCGTAATCGAGTAAAAACGACTTCGTCTCTTCTGGAGAGGTCCGAAGGATTTCGCGGTCCTAGTTTGGGTTTAATATTGTGGAGTTTGTTACCCGTCTGTTTTTTTCCAGTGGCTCTCCCACAGACTGGAGGTGTACTTTTTTACTTTAATTTTAAAGTCAGTCTGTGGTTTGTTTGTTTGTTTGGGTAGATGTTTTACGGCACTATCGACACAATTTTGGTCATTTAAGCCCCATCAGGTTTCACCGCTACAAAATCAGACGTGTTTTTAATAAGAGTCTTTCGGAGCTCGCAACCGCAAACGATCACACTATTTCTATTATGCTAAAAAGACGAACATACATTTATTTTTAAAAAATTGTAAATATGGAAAAGGCTTATTTAAATTTGTATATACAATACAAATTTCAGTGTATGTATATTTTCACCGTATGTATATATACACCGATAACGATAACTATATGTTTTCATATTCTATTAAATAGTCCAATTTCTTTTATATAACTTAAAATTCTTCTAGGCTCTATGATGTCAAAAAGGGTCTTAATATCTTTACATCTAAAATATTTCCCACGGACATAATTAAAGTCGACACATTCCATTAGGATGTGCCGAACTGTGAAATTTGTGTTGCACGCCACACAAAAGGAGCTTCCTCTCCTTCGAGCAAATGTTTATGTGTGACGTGCGTGTGTCCTATCTTTAATCTCGTATAAATTACTTTTTCTCTTCGTGGTAGAGATAGTGATTTCCTGGGCATAAGTTTCGTTTGAATGTAATGGAGTTTGTTGTATGTATATGTATGTATAGTATAAGGTTTTACGGCGCTCGCAACTGCTAAGGTCATATGAGCGCGCGAAACACAAGTTGTTCACCTTTGCAAAAGTTCACTTCACGACTGGTTAACT